CAGAGGCAGCGGTGAAGCCGCGCCGGCGGCGCGTGCGCGGAGGGAGCGGTGAAGCCGCGGCGGGCGGGAGCGCGCGGGCGGCCTGCCCGGAGCGCGCTCTGCGCATGCGCCAGGCGGGCCGTTCGAAGGCGCGGCGGGAACGGGCGGGGAGGAGGTGAGCGCTGAGGGGAGAACCGGGACCGAAACAGGGACCGAAACCGGCATCGGGACCCCATCGGGACGGGCTGCTGGGGAGACAGGCTCGGGGACAGCGCTCGGGACGGAGGGGCGTGAGGGCAGGCGGCGCCGGGAACATGGCGGGGTTCCCTGAGGGGGAGACCGGCCCTGAGGGGGAGACCGGCCCTGAGGGGGTTCTGTGGGCGCGGGGACCCGAGCGGGGCTCCCCGCGGAGAGAATCGGGCACGGGAGGGTCGGTGTTGTGCGCTTGGGACATGAGCCTTTCCTGACAATAATTCAGATATTTATTTGTTTATTTTCTGCGGGGAGTGGCTCGGTCTCCCGGAGACAGCCCGACGCGGGCTGGGATCAGCCGGGAATGGCAGAACGCCTTGCAGGCACGGCAGCGACCCGAGGGGTGCTGGTACAGGCCGGGATGGGACTGAGGAACAGCAGCACTGAATAACCCAGAGAGTTTTAAAAAAATTTACCTTGTTTCTGTGAAAGAATAGAAAAGTGAGAGAGCAGAGCTGCCGTCAAATGCTGAGTGGGGAAAAATGTCAAAACACACCAGGAGGGAGTCAAAGAGTTTGCTCTGTGTGGTGGAAACAAGGGGAGTTCTCCAGGGAATCATTTTGTCTCCTCAGCAGGCTCTGGCATCAGTTCTAGTTCAGTTCTCAACTGGAAAATAGCTAAATTTTTGAACTGGTTTAAGGTTTCCAATTTTGCATCCTAATCCTGTAACTCCTGAGTTATAATTACTCATTCCCATCCTGCTTTACCAAGCAAAAGTGAGAAAACAAATAATTTCTTTTTCAGGCTTCGATACCAAGTGAATAAAGATGTCAATTGTCACAGTGCAGCTCGGGCAGTGTGGGAACCAGATTGGGCACGAGGTGTTCAGTGCCCTCTGCAGTGACACCCGTGGCACCCACGGGCTGTGCTCCAGGAGGGAGAACCAGTCCTACCAGGATTCCTGCAGGGAACGGTTCTTCTGCGAGGAGCAATCTGCAGGTACAGCTTTAAAGGGCTTTTCCCCTGTCGGGGTCTGATTTCAGCACACAGAAACATCAGGTGGTTTATTTCATGAAAGATCTGTGCCCTCTGGAGTTCAGATTTGGTTTTGGCACAGTGGAAAGTTCAGCAGAAATCAAGGCATGGCCTTTCTGTATTGTGCCATTAAGAGTTTGGCTGAAGTAGGAATAACCTTGGGGCATTGTATCCATCCAAGCCCACCCACCCCACTACATAATCAGCATTTCCCCCAGTTCTGTTTTCCCCCCTGTGCAGTGCCTGAGGCCCGGGCTGTGCTCGTTGACATGGAGCCCAAGGTGATCAGCCAGACCTTGTCCACGGCTGCCAGCTCTGGCCTCTGGAAGTACAGCAGCCACTCCCACTTCTGCCAGAAGCAAGGCTCTGGGAACAACTGGGCCAACGGGTAGGAGCTGCTGCCTCCAGCTTCCCTCAGGGAGTTCTGGAGGCTGACAGCTGCTCAGGCTCCCTGGGATGGTGATGCAGCAGCTAAAGTTAAATGGCTTGATGAATAACTTCTGGTTTTATTCTGATGGCCCCTGCCCTGTCTCGCTGTCCTGTGTCACCCCACAGTTACTGTGTGCATGGGCCCAGGCACAAAGAAGCCATCATGAACCTGGTGCAGAAGGAGGCAGAGAGGTGTGACCGACTGGGGGGATTTTTCACCATCATGAGCATGGCTGGGGGCACAGGATCAGGCCTGGGGGCGTTTGTCACCCAGTGTCTGAGGGATGCTTTCCCAGCCTCCTTCATCCTGAACCACGTCATCTGGCCCTATGGCACTGGGGAGGTGAATGTCACGTTGCCTTTTAATACATAATAACAGTTTACACTGAATTTATGAGTTTATAATCACTGGTTGCTTTTAAACTAAATATCTACAGCAGAACTAAACTAAAAAATGGGTATGTTTTACACTGAAAAAGTTCAAGTGACCCAGTATTATAACTAAAGAACTTTCACCAAAAAATTCTTCTTGATAATTTAACTGCTGAAGTGATGCAGATTCACAAGAAGCTAACCAGAAATCTCCTGATGTGCTCTTATCTCAGCAATCAGTTCCCAGGCAGATCTGGTTCCAGCATGTTTGTGTGGAGAGAGATGGATAACCTGATTTTCACAGGTCTTGTCCCCTTTCCATGGAAAGGCTCTGAGCTGCTGACCTCATTCTGCACTCTGGCAAAGAAAATGAATCACTTCCTAAATCATAACTGAGGAAACAGCAGGAGCCAGAGGATTATAAACTAAAAGGAGATTAAGTTGTTTGACTCTTCTTTGTGTGTGTTTTTTGTTTGCTTCCAGGTCATTGTTCAAAACTACAACTCTGTTTTGACTCTGTCACATCTGTACCACTCATCAGATGCCCTTCTTGTCCATGAAAATGATGTCATCCACAAGATCTGTGCCCAGCTGATGAATATCAAACAGATTTCCTTCAGGGATGTCAACCAAGTCATTGCTCACCAGCTGGGCAGCGTTTTCCAGCCCACTCACACAGCAGGAGGGGGCTCAGGCTACAGCAGGAGCCCCTTAGGTACCAAAGGCAGCACCCACACCTTTCTGGGGTCAGCTCAGCTGGAGCTCAAGTTCTTCAGTCTCCTTGCTCAAGGGTTTGGACACAGCCCAAGTTTTAAGACAGGAAAAGACCAATTTAGAAGTTCAATCCCAATGTTGTAGCAGAGTCAAAAATAGATTCCCCTGGCTTCTGGTTTCATTCTTTACCAAACAACCTGTTTCTCCTTTTTCAAGTGATCACAGACACCCTTGTACCTGTTTACATTTCAGAGGAAATTTGTGCAGGGCAGTAATTTTGGACTGAGTTTCACATTTCACTTTGGGTTAGAAGTCTGTATGAGCTGAAACAAACTGAGTTTTGCTCAGGCTGAAGAGGTGAGCAGACAGCTGGGTAGCAACATGCAGCAGACTGACATTTGTACCTTGACAGAATTAGAGAAAGTTGCCCATATTGCTTGTAAAATTAAACTTCCACATCTGTCTGGAGTGCAGAGAGAGTCCTTGAGATTTTTGAACTAAATTGTAAAATAAAAGCTACTAACCCCTGCACAGAACTCAGTAATACACAGCAAGTTTGCATGGCTTTGAAATTGCTAAATCTCTGAACATTCCTCACTCTTCTCCCATTGTAACTGCCCTGTGCAGTATCTCTGTCAAACGTGAGCAGCTGTTCATTTCTCCTTTCAGGAGATTTAATGGAGGCACTGGTCCCACATCCCGAGTTCAAGATGCTGGGCCTGAGGAACATCCCCCAGATGCCTGAGAGCTCCCTGCCCTACAGCACCTTCAGCTGGCCCGGCCTCCTCAAACACCTCAGGCAGATGCTCATTGCTAATGCCCAGATGGAGGAAGGTAAATAAACACCAGCCCATCACTCTTTACACATTCAGTTGTGCAGATGCAATAAAGCTGGATGTTTTGTAGAGTTCAGAAAGAAGCTGCTGCCCTCAGCAGGAATTTGCCCCCACAAAACCAGCTGCTCCTTTCAGCATTCCCTCAGCTGCCACAGCAGCTCCCAGATTGCTCCTGCTCTGCTTCCAGACAGCTCAGTTAATTATAACTATTGAAAATACACAAACCAAGCTGACAGTCTGAGGCTGTGCACTTCATTTACATAACTCATTTGGAACATTCCTTGGGTGGGGAGCTCTGCTTTTTCTTTTTACACCTTCTACGCATGAAAATCAGGCTCAGCTCCCCCATGCAATTTACGTGGAGAATTCAGTTACAGCTCCCAGTTATGCAAGGAATGGGCTGGAGGCTTGCTAAGTATAGAAACAGGTATCCATTTTCCCTGGCACAGTGACTGCCAGGCAAATCCTGCTGGATTAGCAGTGCTTTTCTCTGGGAATTGTGTGATTGCTGCTTCATTCATGTGCAGCAGCTACAAACTCCAGTGTGGTCTCAGTTTGGGCACAGTGATGGTTCCCATCTGCATCTCCACAAAACATTAACTTGCTTCTCCATCTCTTTTTCCTAAATCCCAAAGGTATTGATTGGCAGGTACGACCACCACACCCAGGCTCCTCCATCCCCTCCACAAACAAAGCCCTGCACTTCAACACTTCCATTGCCAACCTGGTTGTCCTGAGAGGAAAAGATGTGCACAGCGTGGACTTGGGTAAGAGAGAGGAGCACAGCCCCTCTGGGTTCACATCTCACTTTGCCACCAGACCTGATGCCAGTGGAAACACCCCCAGACCACACATTTAACTCCTAAGGTTGATGTTCCCTCTAGAAACGTTTTGCTGTCCAAAGCTACACTGTCTAATTGCTTTGGGCTGTTGTGTTCTACTTCTGAGTTTCCTGAAGCACTTTAGGGAAGGAGGAAGAGACTCAAGTCTGTATATCTGGAATTCTTGGCTATAATGTCTGAAAATAAATTTAGCTGTTTCTGGAGTGGTGAGCATTGCTGGCAGCTGAAGTATCCACACCAGTGTGCTTCTAGATAATCTAATTAATCTGTTTAAAAGTTGTATTTTCAACAGGCTGTCCACTCTGAGACATTTTCCCAGGCCTGAACTGATCTGACAGCATTGATTAGCCCCCCCAGGGATCAGGAGTGGCTTTTGTCCAAAGGGCTGTCCTGTTTCTGCTACAGGAAGTTTCCAAGACCCCTCCTTATACACATCATGGCTAAACCCCCAGGATGCCTTCAATGCATGGAAAACTCCCAGAGCATTTAACAAGTATGAAAAGTCTGCTGCTTTGGTCAGCAACAGCCAGTTCCTGCTGAAGCCTCTGGACAGCATCGTAGGAAAAGCTTGGAACATGTTTGCTTCCAAGTAAGTGAAAATAATTATGCTGGTACTTCACTAATGATTGCCAAGATCTTCACTGATTTCTAATGTCTGCCCCATTCTTCAACACACAGAGCTTACCTTCACCAGTACACAAAGTTTGGAATCCAGGAGGAAGATTTCCTGGACTGCTTCACAACCCTGGAACAAGTGATCTCCAGTTACACCAATCTGTGATTTATTTCTGTGTTAACATGGTCTGAAATAGAGACTTCTGAGAGAACCAAGCTGGAAAACCTTCCATCAACCCCCTGAAGTATGTAAATTATTGACTGGAGTTCTTTTTCAGTCTTAGGAGCAGAGTGTCTGTGTGTGTGTGTTTGAATAGCAAGAACTGAATATATTCATATATTTATATTATTCTTATTTAATATTTCTAATAAATACTTATTTTTCAATACATTTGCTATATACTGTAACGATCCTTTTCTGACCATTTCACTAAGCAAAACTACAACTCCTGTTTTTCTCCAAGTTATAAGTTAATTAACTTGTTAATTATTTAGACATATTTGTGATGAGGATGGCTGGTAGATTGCAGATATAAGAACTTATAATTTGACATAATAAATACAATACATTTTCTACTTTCCAAAGTCAATTTAGGGACTTGGTTCCTTTTTTGCACGAATTTTACCACGACCACAAGGTGGAGCCCTGGGAGCTGCAGCTCCCTCCTGGCAGGAGAAGGGATGCAATGACTTGGGAAGGCACCCACTGAATTAAAATTAATGAAAGAGTTCAGTGGAATTAAAGATTGCCTTGTAACACTGAGCTCTCTCCTGCCTCAGTCAGCTCTTCATTGATGGTAGGGAGAGCTTTGGGAATTCTTGCCATTCCCCTCCATGTCACACTTCTCCCACAGAAATAATCCCACAGGCCAAAAATTAAGAGTTAAATCAGCCTCAGGGACTTTTTCCCTGACAAATGGACAAATTTCACAGTGCACCTTCAGCTTTTAGTGCCATTCATTCAAAAGATGGCAGCTCAGAGCTGGGGCTTGCTCTGGTCAGAAGGGAATTTCTGCTGTTCCTGCCACTTTCAGCCATTGTCTAATTTGGGTATTTTCACAGAAGAAACTGCAGGAGAGATTGCACAAGAAGTTCAGACAAACAGCACAGGCAATTCGAGTTTGCAGGAACAAAGGGTCAGGAAAGGAGACCATGGTGAGCTTCTCCCTCCTCCAAAAGGCACAGGATGTTCAGCAGCACAGAAATAAATTCCCCTGGTGTTTCCAACAGATCACAAACAGAATTTCCAGAAATGAGAATAGGTAACTGCATGAAAAATTGGCCAAGTCCCAGGAATCCTTTTCCTTCTCACTTCACAGAACAGGTAAAAGTTTTTCAAAAGGCTAAGGACAGGTAAGTGCCCTGAGAAACAAGGAAGAGAGCAGTGGGTCATTCAGTGCTGTAGCAATAAATAACTTTATTGCAGAAATAACCTCATGTTATCTCTGTATTCATAATTCTGAGCATGAGGCAAACACAGCAGGTGCTCAGTGAACCTATGAATGATATAGAACCATATTTGTTATTTATTTATGGCACTTCATATATCCTGCTAATGGAGCAGGATGTTTGGTCTTTTTTGTTTGTGTGATGGCAGAATTTGTGCCACATCAGGAAGCACAGCACACAGGCAAGATGTCTAACCCCAAAGCAAAAATTCACATTTTAGCTGCTATAGTCCCTTAGTGCTCTGGAGCAGGGGCTGACAGGAATTGTTTTGGGCATCTCTAAGCTTCTTCCTGTGAATGTTTTCCAGTCCTGAAATTCTCACACCCTTTCCCAAACTCAGCCTTCATTTTTTTTTGATCTATGATGGGATTCCTTTATTTTTTCCCCAGGATGTGGAGAGGGTCAAAGTGACAGGAAGTGAACAGCCACTATCAAATACTCATCACCTGCAATTACATTAAAAGGTGGAGGAGTAATTCTCTACCTAATTGATACAATTAATTATGTAAATGGAGCCTGGAAGAAGGCCTTTATTTCATTAACAATTACAATTAAAGAGGTAGATCAAAGGTCAGCACAGCTCAGAGACAGGAACAGCAGAATCAGTGGCCTTGACCTTGCTTGTTGTAGGCAAAGTCCCCACAGGATGTCCACAAAGCAGGAACAATGCTCCAAATCTCACTATTGTTTGTGCAAGGGACAGGTGCAGCTCACTGGGAAGCTGATTCAAGAGCTCCAACTGTAGCAGACATTTCATGAATAGGAGAACATTTATTTGACCACAAAAAGCCAAAACAAAACAAACCCTACCCCCCAAAAAACAACCTACAAACAAAGCAAAATAAAACAAACCCACCAAAATAAAAAATAACTTTTAACAACCTGAAATGTTTTAAACACAGTAAATGTTTGGCAATTTAATTTCAAATTATTTATTTGGGCATAAATAGATATTGGTGTTTTTAAAGTTAGACTCAGTACCAGCACAGAAGGATGGAAATAAGTAAGAGAAAAAAAAATCTGTGGTTCCCACAATAACCAGGGTTTAATACATGAAAAGAGGAAATTATATTCAAATTACCAGTTGAAACACTACTGAGAAGCACTAAGGTACAAAAGGGCCTTGAATGAATAATTCACTTCTCTCTGCATTTGCTAATAAATTTAGTATGGATAAATATTATTAAATGAGAGCCCAAACATCCAAAAGGAAATAGGACTGAGTGTACTTTAAAGAAATCTGCTTTTTGCTGGACTCCACTTTAAAAACTGCCCAAGAGGAACCAGGAAAATGATTCATGGATCCGATAGAGCACAAAAACCTTCCAAAAGGAACCGAGCTGCTCCTTTCCTCAGGGGCAGCCCAGGCAGGGCTTTTCCAGGGCAGCAAACCCCCCGGAGCTCCCTGCAGCAGCTCTGCCCCGCTGCGGGCACAGCCCGGGCGCTTCGAGCTGGAAGCGCAGCTGATCACCCGGGCTGGAAGCACGGAGCCTTCCCGGCTCCCTCAGCCCCACTGCGGCTCACAACGGTCCCTTCTGAGTCCCCCCTGTGGGAATCCTGTCCCTGCAGGCCCGGCCACTTCCCCTCGGGTGGGGCAGGACTCAGCCCCGCTTAACCCTTCCCAGGAACTGCAAGGAAGAAATTCCTGCCAGCCGCAGGGGAAAGGTGGAAAGGCCCCAGAGAAGAGACTGGAGAAGCTGCTCGTTAGGAAATCAAGGCAATGTTTAGAGTAAAGGTGCTCCGTGATAAAGAGCATGGAAGAAATGTCAATTTTAACCCCATGTTCACACAGGCCTGAGAGATATGGAACAGTGGCTCCTAAGAGAGTCACACTCATCTGTGTGAATTAGGTGCTAGAAACCTTCTTGTCTCAAAACCAAAGTTAAAAATTCCAAATGTTACATTGTAAGATACAAAAATTAGTAAGCTGAGGGCCAAAATTCCTATTTTAAAAGTAAAAGCACTACGTGGAGAAACTAAAGCCACTGGTTAAACACAACAACAACAAAAGACAGAAAAACACTTATTGAGCTTTTGTTTCTCTGGTTGTGTGAGGAGAAAGGAGCCCCGTGCTGGATTTGCACTGAAATTGGTGCATTCTGCTAAAGTGATTATTGTACATATTTGGTTACATGGACAATGTCATGCTTATTTAAGGCTCACAAAAATACACTTGAGTTGCCTGAGATGGTGTAACTGTGGGCAGATGGCAGGACTGGATTTGAATTTCTGCCCAGCAGTGTCCAAGGTGTAATGGATCATTTACAGGAGCACTCAGGAGAGCAGGGTGGGTGGGAAGTGGCTCCGTGCCACGGGCTGGAGGTGGAACCAAATCCTGCCTGGGCTGGGCTGGCAAGGGCAGCTCCTGCCCCCTGCTCAGTGAGGGTGCTGGGCTCTAACTCTCAGCTCCTGCTTCCCACAGGGCCTGCAGCAATCCCAAGTTCAAGGATCCATCCTTCCATGGAGGTGTTTGCTGTGGCCTGTCCTGCTGCCCCTTGCAAAGAGAACTCTGGGAAGTTTCTTCCCACCCCACTCTGGGCAATTCCAGCCTGTGTTAGCTGACTGGGGGTCACTGGAGTCAGCAGTTGTGTTGATGGAGTGATTTGGAGTTGTGAATCTTAGGCTGGATGTTGGGGAAGAAATCAAATGCAACTGATACAACAGTCAAAACCATACATTTGACAATGAAAGACCAAAAATCCAGTTAAATACTCGGCTCCCAAGAAGAAAGCTTCCATTCCCCCCAGAGTCTCACATCATTTTCCTCTATAAAGACTTAGCCAGGCTTCCCCTCAAACCCAGTATTCTCACATAAAAACCAGACACAAACCTGATGTGTGCTGTGAAAGGAGAGCTCACTCCTCAGTGACATCAGGAAGGAAACCTCAGCACGTGGGGCCCTGTTCAGTGAACAAACCTGCAGGAAACAGGCTTGGGCTGGGCCAAAAATGACTCCACGAGGGCAGAGAGGGCTCCAAGGCCCAGGGGAGGGGACAGCAGTGACAGTTTCAAGCAGGGGCTCTCAGGCTCTGCCAAACACTTCAGCCCTTTCCTTTTTCAGGGAACTGGAAGGATCTCTCAGTCACAAGTGGGGACGATTGCCAGAGATTGCCTCACTTCCCACAAACACCTGGCTCCTCCTGGGCAGGGCTGCCCTGGGCTCTGCCCCTCGCACAGAGGAGAGACACTCTGTACAGGAGGTAAGGGAGGCAACACAATTGAAATCACCACTTGCAGTAGCAAAATACTGCTTTGAAAATGTTTTTGGCATCCATTAGCTGGAAGTCAAGTAAATACTGGCTTCAGGAATCTTAAAAGTTTCTTCCTTGCTGCTCCCCACCTCGAGCCTTACACAACACCCAGGAATGCACTGCCTGTGTCACAGGAGGTCAGCTGTGAGGAGAGACCTCCAAATCCAGGAATCTGAGAAATGAAACGTTATGAAAAGATCCCAAATATCAAGAGCTCTCCAGAAAGCAGCTGCAGCAAACCAGGCCCTGGGAGCTGTGAGGTTTCCAACCAGCCCTGAGAGGTTTTGTGGCCATGGTGGGATTTGCACGAGGTTGTAAACCTGAATGTGTTTTCTCTCTGAGACAGAGAACTGCTGAGCACAGAAACCTGTGTTTTCCCATCAAAGGATGGAAAAATCCTAATAACCTTTCTGAGGAAAGCCACAGTCCCTCAAAGTGTGAGCCCTGAACAAGGTATTGATGTTTTCAGCAGCAGCAGCCAGGTTCTTCCCTGACAGCACCACAAGGTCATTTCCTGTGGATGCAACAAACTTTGGGAAGTGCTTTGGCTCTGGTGAGAATTTCTTACAGGTGACACCAGAGTCACCAGCCCATTGTGGAGGCCCCAGGAGCCGTTCCAGGAGCCGGGTGTGGCTGTAAGCAGAGCAGGAACAACACCCCGAGCTGACAGGGCTCTCCTCGCCCCCCAGCAGGAAGGAGCCGCGGTTTCCTGCCCGGGCAGCGCCGGCACAGCCCGGAGTGAGCCCCGAGCACGGGGATTCCACTCCAGCTCAGCAGCTCCTCTGCTGGAAGCTGACCTTTGCTTCAGTGCTACTGGAGTCACTGCTCTTTGACTCAGTTCAGGGAGAATAATAATAATAATAAATTAATAAAACCTCAGCACAACCAAGGGCAGTGCTAAAGCAAACTGAGCCCAAGCTGGGCTCGTTCACAGGTTCACATTTGCAGCTTTGTTCCACCACACCTGGACAGCACCAGCACTGAAGGGCTGAGTGGCCTCAACAGCCTCTTCACTCACAATTCAAACATGGTAGTAATCACCTTTTTTGACCAAAATACCAATTTTTTCCTAAATTTTTAACACATTCCAAGCAGTCACTGATGCAGGGCTCTCCCCATTTGCTGGGAGGTGACAGAACAGCAGTGAGTTTCTGTTTGAGCTCCCTCCCCTCTTGTGGCAGCTGCCCCAGGTTGTTCCAGCCTCTCCCTCTGCCAGAACAATGTTCTGCTGCCTCCATGAAGGCAGAGTGGATGCATCAATAAACAAGTGAAATGCATGAAGAAACTCAGGCCAGCATTTCATGCTCTCCATTAGGCACTTGAATTAGCAAAGCCACAGTGGGCTCAGAGAGCTTTTCACCATGATCCTCCTAACAATGACTTTGCAGGAGCATATGTGAATATGTTTCTCCAGTCTGAATGCATGCGAGGCTGCACTCCCCTCCCCGGGGGCAGTGATCAGCACTGATCCCTCACCTGCCCAGCAGGATCCCCTCCCACTGCCCACCTGCTGCTGCAGTCTGGGTGAAGCACTCACTGTTTGCTTACTGCCTTTCCTTCTCCTCCAAAAAACTAACCAAATTTACAGGAAAAAAAGCAGAATTTTAAATCTCAGGAGAGTCATTCCAATTACCTTATCTAGAACTACACTCAGCCTTCTAACTGCTGGTTACAAGGATTTTTTAACCATGTGCTTCAAAGAAAACAAATTATTTTTACCTCCAAAGAACACACCCAAGCCCCACTTTTCTTTCCATTTGCCATCAATTCTGTTCACTAATATTTATATTTCTGCTTGATAATCAGGGCAACATCCAGAGTGTTTTGCCTGCACTTAGCAGAGGCTGCAGCGAGAGGGAGGCTGATTCCAACAAATGAAATGATGAAGCCCAAAAGCACCGCAGGGAAGGACTTTGTGGAACAGCACCAAGCCCCTGTCAGGGGTTGGTGACAAGGATCCTTCAGCAGGAACAGCAGCTGGGGGAGCTGAGGGAGCTGCAAACACAGACCAGGGTGACACTGGCAGGGCTGAGCACAGGGAGCAGCTCCTGACGATGGATGAGGCACGGGCTGAGCTGACCCGGCTCGCTGTGACCCAGCTCTGCTTGCAGCAATTCCTGCCCGCTGGGGCACTGCAGAGGGGCACTGCCCCCTCCCAGAGGTGGCAGGGAGCAGTTTGCTCTGATGGATGAGGCACGGGCTGAGCTGACCCGGCTCGCTGTGACCCAGCTCTGCTTGCAGCAATTCCTGCCCGCTGGGGCACTGCCCCCTCCCAGAGGTGTGGGAGGCACAGTCCTCAGGGCAGGCAGGGGAACGGCGAGAGAACCCGGAGGAGGAGGAGCTGCATCCCTATCTGACCTGTTTCACAGACAATGAGACCAAAAATAAAAAATCTGTCACATTAAAGTCATTAGTTGTTCTTACTGGGCTGTTACTTCCGTGTGATTTTCAGTCATTCCCAGAAAAAAAAAGCAAGATACTTTATTTAGTGTCTAACAGCACAAAACAGCAGCTAAAAATAGGGACTTGTGCCAAGATTGTTCCTCTTGCAAAAGCTCCCTTTGGATTTGTCCCCAACACACTGAACTGACCGACTGCTTCTAATGTGTGATGAAGATAGGTACAACAAAAGGAAACTTGGGTTAGAATCCATGTTTTCAGGTCAAATGCTAAAGGCTGAGTCTTCCTCTCCAGCACAAAATGCAACTGCTGAATTATCTTGTGTTCACACTGGAGAATGTCTGGGACAGCAAATGTCACAGTGTTACCAAGAGAGTTCAATACAGAGAATGGAAACAATCCAGCTGAAATAAACACTGGGAAACGTTATTTCTTTGTTTATTTAGCAACCATAAAACTATCCATTGCAAATCTCATCAGGTCTGTGTCACTTTTCTTTCTAAGGTTTTTTTTTTTTACCTTTTACCAAGTCTTATCTCCCAGACAGAAGCAGGTAGAATGATCACTTCCTTCTCTAAATAGTGTTAAAAAGCTTCAAAATAACAGGAGAGCTTATTGGAATGGACACATGGAAACACAAGCTGAAGAACAACAGATATATATATATATATATATATATATATATATATATATATATATATATATATATATATATATTTCACACTATAAGTATGTAAACATATTGAACCAAAAGTGGGAAAAAACTTTCAGTTTTCCTTGTGGGCAAGAGGCAGAATTTTAAGGAGACCTCTAAAGCATTTAGAAATGTGCAGTTTGTTGGCTCAGGGTCTAGGAAAATCGGGTTTTTATTCTTTTAGTTATTGTTGCAGTGTCCTGATTCCAACCTCAGCACACACAGGGACCCCAGCATGGCATCAATGCCACCCCTCCCAGAAGTGTGAGATAAATAAACACCTGTGTCCCTCAGGGGACAGATCTGGGACCAAAAAGCTGCCACCAGAAGGGGAGAGCAGCCAAGGGCTGTCCCTGATCCAGTGTCCTGATCCCTTTCAAAGTGCAACACTGAAGGTTTGTAGGCTGGAAAGGTGAAGTCCCAAACCCAGCTGTGGGGTTTGGAGTTGTACCAGAACAAGTTCTTAGTGACATTACTGTCAAAGGCCATCTTCAGACCAAAAAATGGTAAATTTATCAAACACTTTCACCTTTTAGAAACCACCAGGAGCAGCTGAACAACTTTAGTGCTTTGAATTCCCTCAGAGCAAGTCCTGCTCTGGGACCTGCAGACTGGAAGTGCATCTGTTGGAAACAGATGATGTCCATGAAACCCTCCCCACGTGCCTGGAGCCCCCAGCCCAGCCAAGAGAAGGATACAAACCTCAGCCCTGCCCGGGGAGCTTCACCTTCACCAGGGCTTTGCTCTGCAGGCCTGGAGCCCATCCCATACCACCACACACAGCACGTGCTGCTGCTGCTCAATGCACACGGCTGGGGATGGATGAGGCAGGCTCAGATGAGAGATACCAAAATGTCAGACAGCCTACCGACTGTTGTTGCCATGAGATCCAACAGTCAACATCAGTCTGATAAGCTATCCGACAGGATGGTACAGCCATGGCACTGGCAACACCACGGGCTCCAGCAGCACGGCACGGCATGGCACAGCATGGCACAGCATGGCACAGCACTCCTGCCCCAGCCCTGCCTCACTGCCCCAGCCAGGCTCAGCTCTGCGCTCCAGGCCACCTCCTGAGAGAAAGACAAATTCATTCCTGGTGCTTACCCCCCAGGATAAAAATGAAAAGCAAGTGTTCACAAGTGAGGAGAGCAGTGCAGGTACAGCAGCAGTGGGACTGAGGCACTGAAGAGGCAAAAGGGCCATTTTAGTATCAGTTCTGTCCCTGGGCATCTGAACTGGCTGATCGTAACAAATCTGGCTTTGAGAGCAGGAGGGTAAAGGTTCTCTCAAGTTCTCTGCACTGGGCAGACACAAAATCTGCTTTCAGCTGGAATCTGAACTCTTCCCCCTCTCTCCTCCACTGCCCACAGTTCTGGGCTCAGGGGCAAACACCTGAGCAGAATGCAAGATAACCAATCTTGTTCTCCGTTTCACCTACCTAAGCACTGACTGTGCTTCAAGCAAGGCACAGCCTTCCTCCTCCCTCTGCTAAGCAAAAAGTTCTGAAGAAAAAAGAACAAAAAAAGAGCAAAGGGTTTGAGCACCATTAGTGCAGGAAGGATGAGCAAACATGCACAGAGCATCCAAAAGTGAGAGAGGAAAAGAAACAGCTTCAAAAGACCGACACAAGAAATTCTGGAATGATCATAAGATGACTTTATAAAGTTTTTATCTTAACTTCATCCTAAATATACAGAATAAAAAACGTTGGCTTCAGCATTTTGACATCAACCATCTCTGCTAACACCAGGAAGTTGGAGAGGGTGGCTTTTCCAGCGTGCAATGCAATGGGACACTGGGAACTCAGACACAACAGCCTTACCATGAGGGACATGCAACAGTTTGTACCCGACCTGTACTCAGTTATTTACATTTTATGGTCTTGAAACTTATGGAAAAAGCAAACCAGCCACCCTTCAAAAGAAAATGTTACCCTCAGGTGAGTCTGAAGTTAAATCAGAAGATGGGGAGTATTAAATCATCAGTTTTGGAAGTAATTTGGATGGACATTTGTGTTAAACTCCCCTTAACATCCCACAGCCCATCCTGTAAAACACAACCCAGACTCGTGTAGCACTCACACCTTACCGTAACATTTGTAAGTTTGTCAATGAAACCGTTGCTCTAATATCCAAATTACTTTCAAAATCAAACAAAAAAAACTTGTTAAGAGCTGAAAATTGATGTTAAAATTTTTCCCCCCTTTTGAATAATGCTGTTTTTTAAACATATGAAAAGTTGTGTCATTTCTCGTGTCTGCCAAAACCCATCCTGAGGGGTTTTTCCCATTTTTTCCAAGCTCATTTGGTTTTTTCTTCAGAGTACATCTTCTGTTGCAGTCGCTTGGCATAGCTCTGGGCCATGGAGTTGATTATAGATAAGATAAAATAACAAACCATGACAATCACCAACTTTTCAAATATCCAGGATAGCCAGTTTTCCCCCTGAAGAGACAAAACAGAAGGAGGAGGAGAATGAAGATCAGTGCACAAGAACACGGGGAGTTCTGGGTGAAAGGGGAAAGCCTGACCGTGTCTTTATTCTGCAATTAATCCAATTAAAAGCAGGAACCAAGTGCGAGCCGACAGGATTCCTGCAGGTCCCTCTGCAAAGCCGACTTTAGTCCCTCAGACAATGCAGGAGGGGCTGCCAAGTCCTCTGCGGGCAGAGTCCCTGATCATTCCCTGTGCTCCAAAGTGATTTATTATTCCCAGAATTGTCTGGGCTTCCCTAACAATTCGTGGAGCTCAGAATTAGCAGCCCCTGCCTGTCACTCCCTGCTCCTCGCAAAGAAATCAGGTTGGTTAATAATGGTTTTTTTTGTTTGTGTTTTTTTGGGGGTTTTTTTTGTCCCTAAATTGCCTTTTCTGGGTTATCTCCCCGTTAGGATCCCACTCTTTGGTGGCCCCGAAGTTCCGGAGCCGGGGCCGCTTGCAGCGTTTCACTGACGGGAATTTAAAGTTGTGTTTTCGTCAAAGGAGGGCAGCAAAGCCCGGCCCAGCGATCTCAGAGCGCTCCGGCTCTTTTGTGGGCAAAGGGATCTTTCCAACAGCTCTGCACGTGAAATGTCAGCACGGATTTTATCTCAAAATGCCTCAGCAGCTCAAGAATTTCATGCCAAAGCTGCTCTGTCCCAATGAAAATTCAGGGCAAGTTTTGAAAAAATTTTAAATACTTTTTTCTGTATCAAAGGACATCTCTGCCCCATGTACCTGCCCCGAACACTGTAATTTCTTTTCCTTTCAAAGATTAAAGGCTTGGGGATTTTAATTCCCCTACTGCCCACTGGCAGCAAAGCCCGGCCCAGCGATCTCAGAGCGCTCCGGCTCTTTTGTGGGCAAAGGGATCTTTCCAACAGCTCTGCACGTGAAATGTCAGCACGGATTTTATCTCAAAATGCCTCGGCAGCCTCAAGAATTTCATGTCAAAGCTGCTCTGTCCCACTGAAAATTCAGGGCAAGTTTTGAAAAAATTTTAAATACTTTTTTCTGTATCAAAGGACATCTCTGCCCCATGTACCTGCCCCGAACACTGTAATTTCTTTTCCTTTCAAAGATTAAAGGCTTGGGGATTTTAATTCCCCTACTGCCCACTGAGCCACAGTTCCCACTGGATCCTGAGGCATCGGTGCTGCCCAGTTTGTTACAATTTCACGTGGAAAGGCAACTTTTTTCTCCTTAAATTTAACTTTCCAAAGAAACAGCTAATGCAGCGGGGCAAGACAAGCCACCGGTTTTAATTTATACTTTAATTTTTTCTCTAAGAATTTAAATCCAGTAGCACACAATTAATATTTCTAATTCCCAGGTTGCTTTTAAAATGAGATTTTTATCTATTCCCTGGGTCAGTGCAGATGTTTGAGGAACAGAATGGGGAGTTACGTTTGTAAATCTACGAGTGTAAGGCAGGCAGGGAAGGGAAAAGCAGGCAGGGAGGCAAAGAGGGTCTTACCTGTGGCACAGCACTGTCGGATTTGTGGTGAAGTTTTATCCTCTGAGCTTCCAAATATTCTTGAAATGGCTTCTGAAGAGAAGGACCTATACTCGGAATAGCAC